CTGACAAGTTGAACGATGTTTTGTGTTCAAAGAGGTAATAATGGTCTTGAAAACCGTAAAATATATTGGGCTGAAAAGTGTTTCGCAATGACAACTTCTCCAAACTGGAGCAGACAGAAGTATTGACAGCATGCAGGGTTATTGATTTAGAAAATGTATTTTGTTTTCTTTAATTTTCTTTCAAAGTAGCTGAATAAACATTCAGCTTACAAGTGTGGACCCGAGGATTTATTTTGGTACAGACACAAATATGAGATTGGCAATAGACCTATAAAGTAAACATGAGGTGTGTGCGTTTGGTATACTGTACACACACTCATAGCTTCGGACAGCCATGTGGAGTGCATGTGCGAGAGGTGGCGTTGCTAGGAGCACCAGGTTGTGTGCAGACACCAGTAACAGAGCAGAGACGACGGCGGCGGCGGCGGCGGCAGCAGCAGCAGCAGCAGCAGCAGGCTGGCAGTGGAGAAGAAAGGAGTGGAGCAATGCCAAGAAGATTCCCCCTGAGAGAGAGTAGAAAGAGGGAGAAAGAGACAGACAGACAAACGGAGAGGGCACATTCATATGATCATGTGTTTCCCATTGAATCATATAGGAACAATTTACCAACACAAACATCTCATGGCGACTCTGACTTGGATAAAACTCTAAAACGGTCATTAATAAAGAGGGAAAGAACGAGAACATCATGGCATGGATGCAAGCAAATTGTGATGGAACAGCAGGACGGGGGGGGGAAGATGGTTTACAAGGTTGACTGGAGGGATGAGGAAGAGAAAGAGAGAGAGCGAGAGATGGAGTCAATCTGTTGGGGCTCATGTCACCCATCCGTCAGATAAACTGTTACCCTATCTCCAACCGGCCCCGACGTCACTTCCTCACCTTTGCGCATAACCCCGCTGTGCCTCACCCTCGTCTTTCCATTTGTTGTCTCCTCTCCCTTCCGTCTCCCTCCCGCGCTCTCTCCCTTCCCTTATTCTGTCTTTTAAAAAAAACGGGGCGTCGTGTGAACACGCTATGCAAATGAGATGGTTATTACCCCACTGCTCATCAAGCCGCGCAGAGGAGACATTAATAGGCTGATGAATATGCATGTGAATTTGTTAATTAAGTTAATTATTCTGCTGAAAATGCATTCGTCTTCCAAGGACATCTTCCCCAGGATTTCAACCTGCTCCACTCATTAGTCATGCGATATTTCATACACAGAGTAAGGAAGAAGAGAGGGAGGCAGACAGTGGGAGGGAGAATGAAGGGTGGTGGGTGGGTGTGTGTGTGGGTGGGTGGGGGCATGGCATTTTTGGAAAGTGGGTGCCATGAACAGTTGGGGTTGTTAAAGAGCGGGGTAAAAATAATGTATTTTAATGTCATCAGTGCTCACAATGGGATGCAGAGTAACAACCCATAATAGCAAACCACATCCTGCTTTTCAGATATGGCACATTATTCCCAAAGAGCTGGAGTTTACACTTTCAGTTTCCTCTATCTTTTTTTCCTGTGCTTGCTTCTACCTCACTGGTTACTTCCCCCTAATTGCTTATTAAAACCCTCTTAAATGAACTTTTTGTGCCAACTTTCCAACACATTAATTAATTGTTGTAGCCAATTAAGTGCCGTTGTGCAAATGAGCCTCATCACAAATGGTCCTATAGGGCCGACCCCTCCTTTCTCTCTCTCTCGGTCTTCCTCCCTCCACCACCCTCCCAGCTAGTCTTCCCAGCTGCCCTTGCACTTCAAGGCACTCGGCTGCCAAAGAAGCAGAAACTGTGTCCTGATAATGCTTCACTGTTTTTCTGGACCGCTTCCAGCCTGCAGGCTCACTGATCTCAAACTTGTATGAGAGGTGAAAAGCAAAAAAAAAAAAAAAAAAAAAGGCTCAGTCTATTCCTTTTGTTTGGCTCATTTATACGAGCCACGGCTTAATAAAACTGCTTGTAAACCAACCGCACAAACCATATAGCAAATCTGTTATTTGTATTGCCTGTTTAATTCGTCTAGCACCCGTGGATTGCCAAGGAGGCATGTATGCATCAAATAGGCTCGGTTTTTTTCACAGCAGGTAAAATGCAAGTTCACCGAGAGATGGTGAAAAAGGGGAGGGTAGTCAACTTCAAAGCCCTCAATAAGGTTGCCAAGCTTTTCGCACACCTCAATCTCGTGTTAGAACTGAAACCATGCAGAGGAAATCAAATACATGTGTTTATGGACATTTAATAGTCAACTCAATGATATTTTGATAATAGAAGGAAGGAAAAGGAATTTGAAAGAATAGATTTCTTGGTCATGCGTTTTAAAATGTACTGTATATGTACTGTTATATAACACAGGAGTTTAACTCTTTGTAATATTCCTTGTATGTTTTTAGTCTGAATAAGAAAGAGGGCACCAAGTGAATTGATATCGCTGATAAATTTCTATAATTTCTCATCTGCCGCTTTAGATGAGTCTGGAATGAAAACCTGTGGACTGACAGTCTTCTATAGATAGTACACAAACGTCTTCCTTCGGTGTTGAAAACGTACTATAATTTTACATTTAAAAAAAACATTTAAGGGGTTGAAGATGAGACTGATAAATAATATCACAAGAATGCGACGTGATAAAAGAGAAAGAAATGTCTGCCATCGCTGACTCAAGCGAAAGTTTACCGAGTCGAGATTCAACTCCAAACTGGAGAAGACGAAGCATTGACAGCAGGCTGTTTTATTGATTTGAATGATTGTCTTTTATTTTCTTTCAACACGGAAAAGAATGAACATTTGGCTTATGTGTAGACAGAGACAATAAAGATTGGGATAAAGACGAGTACGATCACACATCTTTCTTATATACTCAAGCGTGTACTGTATTTATCTATGATTGTGTATAAGGTTTATATGTGCGAGTATGCATGTTCCTATCGTACATACAAGTATATGACTAACCAGGTTAACATAAAAATGTAAATATGTAGAGAAGTTTATTTCATTTTAACAGACTTGAATACATTATTTCAAAATATGACAAAGAAATGTGCCTCTGTTAAACCAAATTGTGCAACATTAACTAGCCTAATATGCTTATTCATATGGAATTATTTTTTTACTTAATGTATGAATCAATATACAATGTATCAATATGTTTCTTTCGAAATAAATGATATTGATAACTTAAGGAAAGATGGACGTTATAGAAATAGCTTCGGGCGCTTCATGGCATTGCCGACAAGATGTTGGTAATGATTGATAAATCATGGAAAGGGATTTGGTCCAGGCAACTGCAATAAGAATATAAAGAGTATTAGTCCACTTGTTTTTCCAGTATGACCGTATTGTGTTATTACAGTAACATCTGTAATTTAACCTCTTTTTTTCCAATCTGTTACATTCACTTTCCCTTTTCATCTAGGGAATAGTGTATATTTTGTGCCAAATTGAATGATTAACTAAAATGCAATGTTTGTTATAATTGATTATGGCTCAAAAATATTCTTAGAAACAAATATTTAATTTGGCCCAAAATGTGCTGGACGAATCAGCGATATTCTGTTCAAGTTTTTCCAAAAAGACTACTAAGAATGTACGGGTCACAGAATGAGCAGATAGTCTTTCTAGTAAATAAGAATCTGTGCTATGTTTCAATACTTAGTTGAAATAAACCTAACATTTACAGGCTGCATAGCGATGTTAACACCAGGCAGTGACACCACTCTCTCAGAACGGGAGCTGAACTTTCTTTTCTTTCCCCAGCGTCTGGCTCCATCCACCCTCCTGCCATTCGGACGTGGCACATATACACCCACCAGGAGGATTAGGAAAGGTTTAGCAACTGTGCCAGCCTCGCTCCCTGTGCCACCCCTTCCCTCGGCACAGAGGGGGGTCCCGCTTGGCATGGCAAGGTGAACTAGCCTCTGATTGATGGGCATGGTTTCAGCCCCGCTACTGTGCTCCCCAAGGCCCGTGCCTCCCTTTTCCCTTTCTCTGACTGCTGTCTTGGCAGCGGTGCCCATCTCCTCTTCAATGCCAGGCAGCCAGCTAAAGCTCCTGGTGGGCACATCAATTACATAGCAGCACCTCCCCTCTTTTCTCATGTCTATCTGTGGGTCTGTCTACTGTCTAAGATGATGCCAATCTGGTCCCTCGCCATCTTCGCTGCTGTCTATACCTATTTGTTGTGTAGTTGTATGTGATTTTATATACCAGGGTCTGAAATATAGCTATCTCTGCAGATATGCACAAATGCACATGTATTCATGCACACACACTCCTGCCCCCTTTCTCAGGCAGGTCATAATGGTTGGTGGGAAAATCCTCCCCAGAGAGCCCTCATTGCCACAGGCTCAGCTGTACAAAAGGCTCAGGTGTGTGTGTGTGTGTGTGTGTGTTTGGCTGTGCAGGCGCATGGCTGCTTATAATGTCTTTATATACTGATTCGTTGTCTATTGTTTTGTAAAGAGTAATTATAAACCAGGGTGTGGAAAGTAAAAATAGAAAAGTAGGAACAATCATCATGTCAAGACCGAAGATTATTCTGTTTCTGAAGTCGATTAACTTGAATATTTCAACCTTCCTTTGGATTTTGGCTGTAAACTGCTCTTGGCAAATCATGAATCATTTACTCGCGGCGATTGTACGCCATCTGGAGTCTCGATCAGATATTGTCTCTTATTTCAAGCTGGAGAATGAATGAGTTTCAATTGGTTTAACGCAATTAATACACTGGATTTTGATTATGTCATGCTAATAAAAAAATGTATTGTATTTTTTTTTTTTTTTTTTTTTTTACGAATATCAGTAAGTGCCAAATCAAACCTGTCTTCACTTGTTTCTTTTAAAAACACTGTCCTGCTAAATTGTTTTCAGTTTTAAAACGTTATAACTACAGAATAGATTATTCACTACATTAAGAAAAAAAAAAAAAAAAAAAACACGTCAGAAATACAAAAAAAAAACAAATTTCCAAAATAAAAGCATTTTCTTGCACCGGTTTGGTTTGGTGGTGTGGAACAATGAGTACGGAAGCCCAGATGGGGGAAGCGGAGAAAGTCGAAGCGGCGAAACCGAAACAGCAAAACCGGGTTACAATGGCGGCGGGGCCTGGTGTTTCTATGCAGAGCGGTAGCCCTGCGAGAGAACTTACTCTCTCTGTTCAACCAGGAGGGACTCAGTCACATGGAGATAGACTAAAACCCGAGGAGATTACAGGTAGGAATCCCGGTATTTAATTTATTTGCTTATTTTTTTAAAAGGTGTAATGGAGAGGCTTCTCGGACAAGACGGCTGAAGCTAACAACGGCTAACCGCTAGCATTTCGCTAACTTTTAAGAAACAGTCAAAACTAATTTCAGGGGCTGCACAAATCTACTCAAAGCTCATTTTCGGCATTGTACAACTTCGCCTCGTTTTGAACAGAAGTGAAAGTCGGGCCACTTACCAAATAGGAGGCAAAAGCTGTGGGACTGAGGCATGATTATGACAGATAATGATAACAAAACGTTGTGTGGTGCTTCATTGACATGTTTGTTTCACCAAACAGAGAAAAAAAAAAAACGCAGGTGAGGCTGATTTTATATTTTTTCCCAGGATGTCACATGACTTGATTGATTAACTTCGCAATGTTTTGTATCAGTTATATTGATGCCCACCCACTAATTCACTTAAAAAACGGTGAAATTAAATCAATCTGTATGAAAACTGGTGCATTAGTTTTAGTAAATTAAGACAGAAATCCGTCCAAAATCTGTTATGATATATTGTGAATAACGCTGACATTAATGCAGAACAGTTAGAATACAATGGATATTTCTGGCTCTTGGTTTCCTTTATTGTAACCGTGAGATACACACATCTGCACCTGAGAGCAGAACATCTTTCAAGGCAAATATTTACAAAAAAGGGATTAATTTCTGGAATAACCTTGTGGGTTAAACTATAAACGAGTCCTTTCATAGTGTAATGTATGTTGTCATTTAGTTTAGAGAGAGGTTGATTCCACTCATTGATCTATTCAGAGGATGTAGTTTGAAGTTGACCCAGTAAAACATCTACTCATCTGCAGCTGACAAGTAAAACAAACAAGGAAAAAAAAATTCTTTATACAAAAGAGTTATGAGAGTGCATTCGTGTCTACCTTGTAATTTGTTTTGGCCACATGCAAACTTAAACACTGGCGTGTCAGGCATTTATAATCTTCCTTCCCAGGACCTTTTCTTTCTGTCTGGTGAACTGGTTGAAAGGGGCGTTTAAGTTTGCCACTCCCTTTACTTGGAAACAAATTACAAAAGACCTGAAACTTAACGAGCTGGTCTCATTGGATGATTTTAAGAGGATGTTAAATGACTTGGAGGTAGACGAATCTGGCTGTAGATGTTCCGCCTGATATATATTCATGTTTATGGTTTATGTTCACAAATATTTGCTGTTTTAATTTGTTATTTTTTATTGTTATGTATCATTATGATATGTTTATGTTAGGCTGCTCTTTGTTTGTCAGAAACTCTGTTAATTGTGCTGCCACCTGTCTTAGCTAGGTAACTCTTGAAAAATTGATTTTTAATGCCATCAAGTTTTTCCCTGGTGAAATAAAACAAAATGGGGGGGGGGGGGGAGTCCTGTGGTTGAAGAATGCATGTTGTTATATTGCGGTGTTGTGGTTTAAGCCTTTTTCGGATTTTCAGATATTTTGAAGATGTTTGAAACATATGACAGTCCAATATATTAATTCATAGTTTTTATGACGCTATACTGTACAAAAGCTCTGAGCCATGCTGATAATCCATCCAAGTTCTGAAAAGTACAGTGAGGACATGGAATCAGTTGTCAGGCTGTGAATATCCTTAACAATTAGGGACCTAACTTCATGCTTGTTTTTATGCTGAACTCATACGTTGTTTTATAGAGGCCGAGAAGCAGAGTCGCATGGCTACTTTGCTGGAGAGGCTTCATGCAAAACACAATGCTTCACGGCCATGGCAGGAGACCTCCAAGGTTGTGCGTCAGGCCATGGTAAGAGAAACATATCTTTAACTGCCTAAGAGTCAAAATTATTTAAGTATCTATTTAAACCAGTGACAGCCTTCAATATAAAAGGTTGCCTTTAGGTTCAGCATGAGCAGAAGTGGGCCTGGTGACTATGTTTTACTGCGTACTCTGTTTAGAAATGAACTGACAAGTCGAAATTCTGCAAGGGCAGATATTGTGAGAATAATGTGGTCACAGGTTTGCAAGAACAAGTTACCAAAAAGATGCTTTCTTTTTCTATTCCTTCTTTACAAGTAAAAGCTAAGCAACAGTTGAAACAATCATTGATTAAAGAATTGGAATATCTGTAGTTATTCAAGTCTTAGTAATTTCCTCAACAAATTCCACACATTCTCACCTGAACAATGTGTGAGGTATAATACTACTACTATCAATAATGATATTTGCTGAGCATTCTTCTAAACTCAAATTACAGAGTGCTTGTCCCACATGTCAAAGTTTTGTCAGATTAAGGATCTATTTATGATGGACCTTACTCTGCAGTGAAGATAATGAGTTAGTTTTGTACCTGTTTAGTTAAGTGATAACATTTTAAACAAGCAACCTTGAAAAAACACATAGAAACATTCAATACTCATAATGAGTGCCAGCCTTTAGTATTTGACAATCCAAACAATAGATAGAGAACAACAATAGAGAACATTTAATAATTAGATTTTAATACATTTCTTGTAATTAATGACTTAGTTCCACAGTTTTACTTTAATAACATCCCAGAGGGTAGAGTAGTGACCTTTAAATGTCTAAACTATTGTGCTGGCTAAGCAAGTTTAAAAACAAACCTGGAAAGTCAATTCGTGTGGACGAAGCACTTTTATCTCTTTCCATGATTTTCTTATTGTTGTTTTTCTTCACGCTGTGTCTCAGGAGAAACGTGGTGTTATGAACGCAGCAGGTCACCAGCTATTGCTCACCTGCTTGGAGACCCTGCAGAGAGCGCTGAAAGGTGAGACAGTTAACACGAAGGACAGGAACACAAGGGACAGAAGGGCAGCATTTTTCATTACAGTGTTTCCTTTCCATCATGTGGACTGAAATTAACTGTTGAATATTCTAGTTTATGTTAATGAAAAGTGCAAATGTTACTGACATTCCGAACGGGGCAAAATAATAATGTGATGTCCTATAACGTCAACCTTGTCGGTTTAAGTGCACAGTAGAAGCATTGGGAAACATTTATATAACAGTATTTTAATATGATTTTAACATGGGTTCTCTGTCTGCCTTTTTTCAGTCTCATCCTTGCCCTCGATGACAGATCGTCTAGAATCCATCGCCCGGCAAAACATGTGAGTTGCCCTCCTTTTGTCCATGTTTTCTTGATGTAAACCAACTTTGATTTAGGAGGTATCCCTTTAAGACAGGAAGTAGAGACTCGTGGAGGATATAAGGTTGAAGGATTGTTGATAAGATGACTTTTTTTCTGTTTAGAATAAAATGGGGATCTTGTCTTCCTTGTTCATTGTAGACTAGCAGTAACTCATTAATATAAAATTGATATCCTCTTCACCCTCATTTTCTTTCTGTAATTGTCTGAGTAGGCTGGGCTCACACCTCAGTACCTCAGGGACAGAGTGTTACATCACATCAGACATGTTTTATGTGGAGGTGCAGCTGGACACCATTGGGCAGCTAGTGGACGTAAAGGTGGCTCATCAAGGAGAAAACCCCACGGTAAGTTTGTTCTTATTGCCTAAATAACTTCAGCCAAATAAGAGTCAGGTTGATCATTGTGTATTGGGATTTCTATGCTTGTGTACCACAATTTATCCTTTGAGTTGAGTGAAGCTATTTACCTTTCATTCCTTTATGTGATTCTATTCTTGGCCTTTGAAGGAGATAATGCCCCATTAGTGTATTGTAATGTTTGTTTGTTTTCCTGTGTTATTGGCGACAGAGTTGTCCTGAGCTGATTCAGCATCTAAGGTGAGTAAAAACCAAATATTCCACTGAAGGCTCCCATAGTGTCCATAATGTAGATACTTGTGAGAAATATAGTTTTATCCTGAAAGCTGTCTAATCCACCTCTCTCATGCTTCACATCAGGGAGAAGAACTTTGAAGAGTTTTCCAAGCATCTCAAAGGACTGGTAGAACTTTACAAGCTCCCTGGAGACAAGTAAGTACGAATAAGCCAAAAGGAAGGCTGGTTTTAAGTCAGATAAAATGACTTTTCCCACGCAAATTATAGATGGATGTTGCATGTTGAAGCCAATTTCCCTATTTGTTCTTGGTATAAAGTTCTTTGAGGCATCATCAAAGTATATTTCATGTAGAGCACCAGTCTTTTCCAGATTATACATTTTATTAAACACTGGTGCCCCAGATGTATGTCCTTGTTTTGTTTATTTGGAAAGTATTTTCATATAATGTCATTGATTTTATGTGTTCCAGTAAGCTAAAAACCAAGATGTACATTGCGCTGCAGTCTTTGGAGCTTGACCTGACCAAGATGATGCACATGTTTAGGTAAGCTCCTGTGCACTGTTTTTGTGCTGTAAGGGCTTGGCAAAAAGTGGGAGGCCTTTCTTTTCATGTTTTGAGCTTGTGGGGTTGGATTGTAAGAGCTTTAAGAATCAATTTGTTTGTGGCTTGTCATAAGGCCATAATGTGAAAAGAACAGTGAAAGCAACTTGGGGGTCATGTCATTGTCTGATTTGCAGTTTTTATTAGGTGTATGGGAAACAACCCCACAATATCTGGTTTTAAAATACTAAAGCAGAATGTGTGCTTGAACTGTAGTATTAATTATTAATTTTTAGTCTTATTTGAGAATGTATCTTTTTGACTCAATTATTCTTGAATTTGTGATTTGTAGGCTAGCAACTAGTGCTAACTCAGTGGAGACAATCCTTCATGGCAGTGTGGGCTTGCTAACAGCAAGGAGTGGTGGCCATCTTGTAACTCTTCAGTGTTACGTTTCCCCCTATGACATTTTTGAGGAGGGAATGGACACACAGCTCAACTTAACAGATAACAATAGTAAGTGCATAGAGAAAGTGTGTGAATTCATTCAAAGCGAATTGATAATTTGTCAAAGTATTTGACTATAGAGGTCTGACTTCTTACTCTTGTCTCTCTGTGTGGACACTTGGATAATATTTGTAGTTCCACGATCTTTGGGTGTGAGTGTTTCGGTGACAATTGAGGGAACTTCTGCGGTGTATAAGCTCCCCATCGCTCCACTCATCACTGGATCCCACCCATTGGACAACAAGGGGTAAGAGATTTGTAACTTGCTTTTTCAGGTACCTTGTCAAATCCTGCGGGGGTTTTCTTTTATCATGTTTACATTACAAGCATGCAAAAGATAATTGAGATTTATCAAAATATGCTTGGCAGTCTCTTTGATATAAACAACTGTCGTATGATTGCCTAGTCTGAGAGTTGAGGCAGCTGATTTTTTTCTTGTCTGTATTTCAGGACACCTTCCTTTTCTAATGTTACCAACTCCAACTGTGTGGACCTGCCAGCTTGTTTTTTCCTAAAGATGAACCGGCCCATGCCTTTCTCACTGTCCTTTATTCAAAGGATGGGCAATGCTACATGTGAGTCAATCTCATAAACACTATATGCTGATGTCAAGTACTTGGAGGAGGATTCTTGTGTTAATTGATGATTTATACTTAAATTTCTTTCCATTTTTTCACAGCCATCCCAGTGTTTGAAAGCTCCCCCAGCCTCTCACCTCTCTACCAGTTAATTGTTCAGAGCCAGCGACAGCTTCTGGAGGAGGGCAGCTCCACACCACTGCTTCCACAAAATATGCATTTCTATTCTGTGAGAAGACATGAAATACCTCAACTCAAAACATCAAAGTTGACTTTCATTGAGTACTTGTATTGAATTTGTTAGTAGATTCGACTTGTGCCAAAGGGTTAATTATTGTCCTGTGGTTACAGCAATGTTGTACATATTTGGTCACCTACTTAACAAAAAAAAAAACCTGCGCTACTTTTGGCTTGTTGTGAGCAACTACAAAAGTCATTAATTCTATCTGTCTTTATTTCCACAGGTGTTGCCTGATCAGCAGCACTGCTACTTTCTGAATGGTGATGCCCCAGTCCAAGACGGTCATTCACTTCAAGGAACACTGGTGTCCAAGATCCCCTTCCGTCACCCAGCACAAGTGCCGACCCTGTTGGATATCATTAGGCACCAAGCAGCTTATAACAACTTGATTGGCAGCTGTGTGAAACGAACTTCCATCAAAGAAGGTATCTGGGTTCTTATTAACTGTTTAAACACAGATACTCTGTTTACCATGCATATTTTTAGTGTAATATATTTTCTGTTTTAGACAGTGCAGGTCTTCTGCAGTTTGAAGTATGTCCTTTGACAGATTCAAGTTTCAGCGTCTCTTTCCAGCATCCAGTTAATGAGTCATTAGTCTGTGGTAAGCACTACATTTATAATATCTTACTAAATCACCATATATAGGTAGTAACAAAAAATATTCTCGAGCAATTGTGATTAATTAATATATTAACTGTGGTATCAGTTGCAATATCTTTCTTTTGCTAATGAGTTTTCTGTCCAATCTGGCCTCCTTCCCGTAGTGGTAATGGAGGTGATTGACTCAAGACAGGTATCCTGCAAACTGTATAAAGGACTTTCAGATGCTCTGATCTGCACTGATGAATTCATAACCAAAGTGGTCCAGAGGTGAGATTGTTTATTCTTCCTGAATTCATGACTTGATGTGCACAGTGCTTTTACTAAGTAAATGTTTTCTAAACCTCCTAGATGCATGTCCATCCCAGTGACCATGCGGGCCATTCGAAGGAAAGCAGAGACCATCCAGGCAGACACTCCGGCCCTCTCACTAATTGCTCAAACAGTGGAAATTATGGTGAAGAATAATCTGCCACCCTCTGGTAGTCCAACCTACAACATGGCTACAGGCGAAGGAGCCAACCCTATGGGACTGCCTGGGCTTACTGGGGGCAACACACCCACTGGAGGAGGACCCCCTGGGGGACCCAATTTTGCGGGTTCAATTCCTTCCATATTTGGAATATCCAGACCTGAAAGGCAAAGCCAAGGAGGAGAGTGTCCAACCCAAGGAGGGGTAGTTAGCCAGCAACAGTTGCAGCAACAACAGGCTGGTCAAGGCAACACAGATGACTACAACAAAGTGACCCAGAATCCAATTCTGACAAGTCTGTTACAGATAACTGGTGCGGGTTCCAGTCCCAGCTCCCAGAATGCACCACCACCCCACCAGACGCCACCCCCAACATCCTCCCCTGCCAGCAATACCAAAAATCATCCCATGCTAATGAACTTGTTGAAAGATAACCCTACACAAGATTTTGCAGCACTGTATAGTTCAAGTCCGTTGGAGAGGCAGAATTCTTCATCTGGCTCCCCAAGGACAGAAAGTATGAGCGCTGGAGGTACCTGCCCTACAGGTACAACAAAATTAAAGAAAAAGCGTCTAAGGGGGACTGAAAAAGGTGGCGTGTTGCCAGGTACTGCTGCAGGTACTGGTGGAGGTGCTGGTTTGGGTAAACAGGCATCTTCAATGCCACTACACCACCAGCACCATCAAGTTACACATGAGGACGACTTCCATCGTGAGCTCCTCTCTATGGATGTGGACGCATCTCAGAATTCTATCTTTGATGTTAACCTGGCCGGTGATGGACTAGATACTCCCCATAGTATCACTCCAGCGCCTAGCCAATGTGGAACACCACCCTCTGGCCCTGGCATGCCTTATTCACAGTCTCATGTCCAGTCCCAGCAACAGCATTCACAGAATACCGTACCACCCCGTATGGTCCGTCTCTCTAGCTCTGACAGCATCGGACCTGATATCACAGAAATATTGTCAGATTTGCCAGAGCAGACTGGGAAAGGCAGCCATGGGCAGCACCCCATGGGCAGTGGAGGGGATGATGGAGGCCCATTAGGTACTCCAATCCGTGACTCTTCCAGCTCAGGGCAGGGCAGTGCAGTGTTCGACTCTGCAGACATTTTTAATACCAACAGCAATGAGAATCCTTTCCCTGATCCTGCTGACCTGATTGCTGAGGCAGCCGCAACTGCTGCCACTCCTACCAGTGATTCTTCTTCGACTAACTTCTTTCCTGATGCTGCTGATTTCAACCCTGACCTTCTGACCTCAGGCCAGGGCTTCTCCCAGAACTACTTTGATGACAGCTCCCCAAGTGCAGATGGAGACATGGACCTGGTCAAGAGTTTTGGGGGAAGTAGCCAGCAGAATACCCCATCAGGAACACCGCAGAACCCAACTCCACATGGACAGAGCACCCCAGAGCCCTCACTGAAGGACCCTTTTGATATGGGGATAGTCTTTGGAGGAAACAGTGGTGGTGGTAAACCACTTCTTGGGCAAGCTCCTGATTTAGGAGATGCACATGGTGGAGGTTCTCAGAGCCCACTCATTATGGGTCTTGGTGACTTTAAAAGCACAGAACCCAAGAATAAACAGCAACAGGGACTCGTGCGGCCAAAGGATGAGAATGGTGGAAGCGGAGGGAGCAGTTCTGGGATGGGGGTGGGAAGTAGTTCCACAGAGGGCAAACAGGTCAAACGTAGCAGAACTCCATCCAGTGAGGGAAAGTCCAAAGAAAAGCCTCCTAAACGCAAAAAGCTGGACCCTGATGGGAAATCTCCCTCTCATAGCTCAGGGGGGAGATCATATACACCCCCTAGTGGTGGCTCAGGCTCTGGTGGAAGCATAAGTGGAGGTGGCTCCAAGTCTCCGGGTAGTTCAGGACGGTCACAAACTCCTCCTGGTGGTGCCACACCTCCCATTCCAAAAATCACTATTCAGATTGCAAAGGGGACCATAACTGGGGGAAAAACATCATCCCATAGTGGGTACACATCAAGCAGCTCAGCCTCAAGCAGCACAGGAGGAGCAGGGGGGACCAGTAGCAGCAAAAGCCATCACTCTCACTCATCTTCCTCTGGGAAGATTAAGTCCAAGGAAGGTTCAACAACACAAGGTGGCAGCTCCAAGCCAGGTAGTGCAGGAATAGGAGGTGGACCTTCTCAGTCTAAAGGCTCGTCCCAGGGAATGGGGGTTGGGAAACCAGGATCATCTCCTATCACAAAACATGGACTGTCGGGCCTGGAGTTAGTGGAGGTGGAATTGGAAGTAATAAAATGAAGCCACAAGGGGGCAAGCCTCCTGGGTCTCTAATGAATCCAAACATAAAGCCCAACATATCCCCTTCGCACTCCCGTTCTGGTAGCTCTGGAGATAAATTGTCCTCCCCTATGAAAATGCAGCAGTCACAGGTCCCAGGAACCCCTCCTTCCTCAAAGGCTAAATCCCCAATGGGCTCTGGAGGTGGCAGCTCTGGAGGGTCAAAGTCTTCATCTGGTGGAGGTATGAGCTCCCAGAAGCCAATGGGTGGGAGCTCCTCCTCTGGTTCCACATCTTCCTCATCATCCTCCAGCTCCTCCTCGTCCTCTGGTTCCATGAACTTCTCAGGAGGCTCCCAGTCTCAGTACGGGGGTGGAGGTGGTGGTGGAGGGCCAGGAGGAGGAAGTGGAGGCAGTGGTGGAGGGAGTGGGGCGGAGGTGGTGGAAGTCAGAATAATGCGAATAACCCCAACGCTAAAGGGAAGTCTCCCAGCCGCAACAAGAAACCCTCTCTCACAGCAGTTATAGACAAACTGAAGAGTGTTGGTGGGGGAGGGGTCGGGGAGGATGGGTGTGAGGGAGGGCCACCAGTAGGTGGATCTGGTTCAGGATCTGCTCCTGGTGGTGTTGGACCTGGAAATGTTCCGAGCAGTGGACCATCAAACATGGGCCAGTCCAAGCATGCCTCATCTTCTCAAAGTGGGGAGTATAAGCGGGAGAAGTCTGATAAAGAGACAAAGGCCAAAGTTTCTGTGTCAGGGGGCAACAGCGGGGATAAAAAGATGATGGACTCTAAAACAGGAGGGGTGAGTGCGACTGGCCTGGCCAAAATTATCATTAGCAAACCCGATGGTGGCTCACCAAGCATAAAGGCCAAAGTGACCCTTCAGAAAGGAGGGGAAGGATCTGGGGACTCTATGCGACCCCAGATTTCTAGCCTCAAAGCATCCCCCCTCTTTAGCGGCTCTACTCCCAAACATGACCGCTCCTCCCCGAGCCACAGCCGCTCTCCAGGATACACCCCACTTAACCACGACAGCGAGAGTGAGTCCGGCAGCAGCTCTGTGGCCGAGAAGTCCCACCAGAACAGCCCAAGTTCAGATGATGACCAGGCCATTCGCCCACTTCCCCCCCAGGACTACATGAGCTCCATTCCACTCAGCTCTGGTGAGAAGCACAAGAAACACAAGAAGGAGAAGAAGAAGGCAAAAGAAAGGGAGCGGGAGAGGGACAGAGACCGGGAACGGGACAGGGACAAAGAGAAGAAGAAGTCCTCTATGTCCATAGGGCAGTCCTCGCATCAGATAAAAGCAGACAGCTGGTCTCGGTCGCCCATATCTGCTTCAGATTCATCTTTGTCCATGCTGGGCTCAGAGCGTCCATCCAGGCCTAGTCCAATGTACATGAGAAATGAAGATGATGACCTCATGGACTCTGCACTAACTGGCAACCTTTAATTTCATTTAAAAAAACTTTGTTTACTCTTTTCTTTTACCCCAACTATTTTAACATGCCTTTTAACATACAAAAGAAAAGTGTATTTATTTAACTAGATAAGAAAAATTTGGCATTTTGGTCATCGTTTTTATGTATTTCAAGTACATTTTACTGACTGGATACGTTATTGTTTAATGATATACATGATTGGGATGCCAGTTTTATTTGACGGTGGTTGCTACAGTATCATGTATATAACCCCAAATTTCAAGCATCTTCAACTCTTGTTGAAGTACATGTTAAGGAAAAAAATAAATGTATTGTCCCTCCCATCACGTTAGACTTTATTATCAGTGAATTTCATTTTACTTTTACCTTTCAGACATAAGCTGCTGCTGATGTGAAAATACCATAACTTTATGTTGTCAAAAATATGTATATCATCTGTTATGATAATGGAGTATGGTAAAGCAGGAAGGGTACAATGTAAGGTTGCCTTGTTTTTTCTTAATGAAGGGGTATTTTCTTTTTAGATTTTGATACATTTTTAACTGTCGCTTTGACTTGTAAAAAAGACTGCAATGCTGATGAGGGGAATGATGAAAATGGAGGTAAAGTGAGAGCTGGTAATTTTTTAACTGTTAAAGTTTTGGAAGCTTGGAATAAACATTTCACTTCTTGAAAAATCTCATTGTTGCATTTCTGTTTTTGCTTGTTTATGTAGCAACAGTAGCAGAGGCTCATTTAGATTGTTTTCCCCATGATAATCTAGAGTAAAAGTAATAACCTGTAAACAAGACACGTTTAATATGACTTAATTTCACTTCCAAACTGAGTCTGAATGAATCAGTTAATATGTCAAAAACAGATAACAGTGCAGTTCATTTATCTTTGAGGAAGAGTTAACAGCTAGTCTGGAAACCTACACTAGGTGGCAGCAGTGGTTTAAGCTGTTCAATTACTGACAGCAACTGGTTTGTTATATTTTACACTGAGCTGCTCGCTTCCAGGCATGATGGTTAGAAGTTAAATGAAATGTCAAAGCTTTCACAGGTATTTCAGAAGTAAAAATGTAAAATCAGGACGCAACTAGGGGAGTTGAAAAAGCCAAAGACACTTGAAAGAAACATCTCAAACAAAGGTCACAAGGACAGTTGGCATCAATAAAATAAAACAAAAGGATAAAAATATCACATGCATAACACAGAGAATTTATCTGACACAAGGACTTAAATACAACATGTTTATAAAAGGTGACTTCAAACTTAAAGCACAATCACAGCTATTAGAGGCAGGTCAGTCTGTATGCATGTTGTCAAACAACTAAAAGAAGTATCACCCTGGTGGCTGGATTCAATTTGATTAAAAAGCATCAAAATTGTTTATGTTAAGTGGAAGTCTAGAAGATCATTTAAAAGTATGATCTTTTTTAGACAACCCTAATGGCGATATTGTGTATTATTGGCATGCAATTTTTTTAAATACAGTTGCATTTGTTATTTAAATGTATGAAATTTAGAGAGTATTTTTTTCCATTCCTTTTGTATTTTGGTAACATTTTGCAGATACACTTTTCAGTCTTATCTAATCCCTTAAGTAAGCAAATTTGGTGGATAAGTATTACAAAATACACAGAATTTGTTGGAGCACATATAGATATTTTCTGCTTCCTGAGAGGGTGACGACTTTTTGTTTTTAGTACATAGACCCCCTTAGTGTAGAGAAAAAAAATGCCTGCAAGCAGCAAATTGTAAATCAATAGAAGTTATTCCTGTTAAGACAAAACAAAAGAAATAACCTTTGTCACCTTTTTTGTTGCATGTGACACCATCCAAGACCCCAAGGTCCCCAGTCAACTGATCTTCTGACCGATCACCTCCCTTTTCTCCATCTCTGCTGACTGGTCTGGGTTTTTTTTTCCCCAGAAGCTCTACTAAACTGCCAAGCTCACATTAATAAATAGAGTCTCTGTATATTAAAACAATTTTTCATCATGGAGCGAGCTGCTCTGAAATAACATGACAGTCAGCTCAAACTGCTTTGGTATGTCGTCAGCTATGTAAACTTTAATAGGCAGAAGCTTCCTTAGGGCTGCTGTTTAATAGTTTTTTGGAATCGCATTGCAAGCAGGGTCCCATAGACTAGCCACTGAAGAGCCACTTAGCAAGGTCATCTACCCCATTGTTTTGTGTATGTATCAATTTAATTTATGCTGAAAAGTATCATATTCAGCTAAATGTGACACAACATTGGTGCTTAAAGTTTCTTGCATGTCATCACTTACCGTTTTTGTTTACTCTGTCCTTGTAAATACACCAAATTTGTTCCTGCCATTGAGCTCTAGCCTGCCGCTTAAAGGTCTCAGCTTTAAAAACCCTGATTAGTGTTTACCTCACCTTATCTCATAATTGGGGGGTTTGCAGACAGACTAATGACACGTTACTGCTAGAAAAAAATGGTAAAGTATATTTTGCATAATACGTGACCTTTAAACTGCTTATGTAACTTGCATTTAATACCACACTTATCAAACAATTTTGATGTTTGCTTGCTTTTTAAATAAGCTCAACTTACTGGTTCTAAAATATTTTGAACATTGGGGGATCAGGTGTGAGTCAACACCTACCACATCATCAGTGTCTTTTTTTTTTTTCTGCTTGGGGACAACCCAGTCCTAAAACAGTCCAAGAAACAAGCTAAAACACAGCAACCTGCACCAAGATCCAAATTTCAGACTTAATCAATAATTCACACACGTTTTAATTTGCCCTCCTCCTTCAGCTACAGGAGTGGAATGATTTGAGCTTAAAGGGCCTCAGGAGGGGAAAAATACACAAGACAGAAGTGCTCCAAAACATTGATGCAATGTCTTTCACTGTAAACTCTAGTAAACATGGTTTGCAATATATATAGTATGGTTTGATTTGAATACTGTATATCCAGCCTTTAGCCATTAAGGAACCTTCAGTTTTTAAAATGTTTTGATTTTTAGGGTTATAGGCTTCTTTCTCCCCACAAGTACACATTCAGATACCACCAACATCTTCATCACAGTGAGTTCATTCAGTCAGTTAATTTTCGCAACGCTTTCCAACCAATTTGTCAAATTCCAGGAAAATAAAAGAAACTCTGAAACTGCCATGTCCTCTCAGCCAAGCATCTCCCCTCCTTTTCCCTGTCAACCTTTTCAAAGTGCTGATCCAGCTTTTCCTCAGCACGGCTTATTTCTCTATTGTCGACCCTGCCACTCAAATACTATGCCTGGCTTCAAACTCACTCTTATGCTGCCTGGTAAATATCCCCATTATTCCTCTTTCCTCATCCTTTCATCGTGTGCATACCCTGTTATTGTTTCCAAACACAATACTGAGGTCAACTGCATGTTTGAGAAGTTACTAAGCAGTTTCTTATCTGCTCTGCTAATATAAATGTTGCGTTTGAATACCTTCCTTATATTAAGTCCTTTCATTTACACTCAGTTACGTTAAATACTGACATTATAATTATCTGCCCCACTCTGCCTCAAACAATCTACAGAGTATGTCAATGTTTTTTTCCGCTGTTTTAATTAGCTTTAACATAATTGTTTAGCGTTCTAGCTGCACAGTTCTAGCAGTCAGTTTGAAACTTTGGTCTAGAATATAAAATATCCCAACGACTGTTCAATGGACTTCATTTAACTTTAAATATCGTGAGCGTTCTTAGGTTATGGACTTCTCTCTAGCACCACCAGCCGGTCAACTTAAAGTTCTTTACATTAATATTGTCACTGCAAAAGCATGTTAGCATGACGATGTTAGCGTTTCACTCCAAGTATAACAGCTTCAGGGCTGCTAGCATCACCGCTTCTCTTATTGTCTTATCATTCAAAAGTCACTTCAGCCACAACATGCCAAGGGTTATCATTAAAATAGCTAAGTCATTTATTTTCTTTTTACAATGTCTCACGTTTCCCTTTTTTTGAAAAGCTTACCTAAATGCTGGCCAATTATGTGCAGCTGATTCTCCTTAGTCCCATGTTATTCAAAGGCCAATTTTTCTTTCCAACGTAGCAATCTGATTGAACAAGTGGCATACCAAGAGTGCTGATATAGACTTAAACAGCACTTGGACTTTTCACTATGCACATCCCTCCGCCTAAGGTGTTCTGAACAAAGTTTGTTAACATTAAAGTAAAAGTTCAGTATCTAGATTGATCAAGCTGGTACCTACTAATCACACAGACCATTAAAACCGGAAAATGTATTTATAGGTCTGCTTTAATACTGTATAAGGGAAATATAGTAAATGGTAAATGGACTCAATCTTATTACTTTTCTAGCTTTCTGTCTTCTCCAAGCCAATACAAATATTCCACCAGACTGTACTGAATATCGGTGTGCTGTGAATATCAGCCTGTGAGCTTGTGCCTCTGATGGTCTGATCCACCTCATTTACTGCCAGTTCCCTCTTTTACTTTCTCGTGTGCCCCTCTTTTAGCTTTCTTTTCTCTTTTTTTTGGAATCACCAATTTTGCACCGCAGAGTCTGTTTGAACTCACTGTCCATCTGAGTTCAAAAGGTACAAGTTGGCGATAACAGGATGAAAACCATGCCCGTCTTTTTCATTAGATGGAGTCTCATAACTTCTACAATCACTGAGTTTATGTGGTGTACAGATTAATTTCAGCACGTGAGACATAAAAGAAGCAGACAGCGGGATGGGATTTGCAAATTGCCATCTCCCCTGCACTGCATAAGGAAGAGCAGCAGTTCAGGACTGCTGAGGAGCTTTATGGCATAGAAATAACCTCCCAGCTTATCCTGTTGATAAGCAAGCAAGAGGAGGCGTTTTTTTGCCAGTTAGTTAAGCTTTATTGCTGCACATAGTTAGCTTGGAAAGCAAATGAAGTAGTGGAGGGGAGAAAAGAAGAAAAAAGGCAAAAGAGGGAGGGAGCAGGAGATGTATTTTCAGCCTGTGTGCTACACCCTGAACTAAGGATATTATTATCATCGCAAGAGATTCTCAGACAAACCCCCAGCTATGCTCTCAGGAGAAAGGCAGCAGGGAGTGCTGCATTTGATCTTTCCTCGAAGGGTTGCTGTCAGAGCAAATTCAGTTTTCCTCATCAGCCAGAGAAATGCAATTGTGTCACTGTGCCAGGATTGTGTCTTTTTGTGTGCATGGTCATGTAGATCAGCAGTATGCTCTGCTATTTCTTTTTCCTTTTTTTTTACTGAGACATGTTCTTTTCTGACAAGAAACAACCACAGCTGAAAGGATTGACACTGAAATTTAATTTAGCCCAACTTTTTCATTACAAGTTTCTGGAAGTGAACCAAGGAAATCAAAATGAATTTGTTGATGTTAAATTGAATTGCTTTTGTCAGTTTATCAGCTGAGTCATTCCTGTTCATTCTTACTGAACTAGAGAGAAAAATGCAAGTATATCCAATCTCCCTTCAGAGCTTTAAATGCTTTGCGGAAGGAGTTTTTAGTTGGGTTTTCATGGCTTTGCAGATCTATTCAAATGCTGTGTTTAGACAAGTTATTCCTAATTGTACCAATCTTAGGAGTTATGATAAAGAAAAGGTGAAGTAAGTGGCTATAACCCTGGAGAAATCATCAGCAACACTCAAGGAGTGAGGGTACACCTCAGTTTTTTATGGTTACTTGTTTTTGACCATTTCTGTAGTTTCCCTTTTGTTTCAA